ACCGGTCTGTATGTGGGATCCGAACCCTCGGCGGGAGCGCCACCGCGCTCTCAAGCGGTGCGCTGTAGCAGTGCGCCACCGGGCCGGCCCAGCGGTCAGCGTTCACTGTCATTGTCTGCAGGTCTGAATTCCTGCCCACCAGGTGTTGTGCTGAACACCCGCCTGTACCGCCCAGCCAGTCCCTGCCTCCCCTGGCAGGTGTGTGCTCGACTGGCTTCATTCCACACATGAGGAAACTGAGTCCTGGGGATGCTGACAAGGTGCCCGACATGGAGCAGAGACGGACCAGCCTCCTGGATTTCCCATCCACATGGCAGCCCCTCAGTGATGTGCTCGAATCCCCCGCACAGGACGCCTGCTTGCCATGGGGGCCTCAGTCCAGGCCTGGCTCTGCCCATTGCCATATCCAGCACCCTGACCTGTTTCCTCATGAAGCGCAGACAATGCCTCTGGCCTGGCCTGGGGCATCACGAGGATGGGATGGAGGAGGCAGGTGGCGTCTGGACATCCCAGAGCACTGAGACGTCAGCCAACACTAGACAACCACACACGTGCTTACACTGTGCTCTGCCATCCAGCAGGAAACCAGGGAAGAAATGCACAGGTTACACCTCTTAAAACATAAGTAAAAGGCATGCCCCAAATCCCAGACCGCCACCCTGCTAGCACGTGGAAGCTGCCCAAGTCTGAGTTCGGCCCAGAGGCCTCCTTCACGCCTGCCGGAGAGCGCGTTTGCTCTAGGAAACCCTCCTCCCAGAATAGCCACTCTCGCAGGGATTTATGAGAAAAGTATTTCAGCAGGAAGGAGTGGAAGTCCGCCCAGAGACTGTGACCGTGACCCGTCCCAATGCCTGAGGTTGCAACTGCGGCCGGCCAGGAGTGGTCGCCTTCTCTGCCCTGTCAATATTTCCTTGGGCAGGTCAAGGGCAGGGGGCAGCAGGGCCTCACCTCTGCACAGTGGTCTGACTGTCCAGCTGGTCCTGGCTCACGCTGTGCTCCGTGCCCTCGGCCAGCGGCGTCCGGATGCTCTGGAGGATGCTGTGTCCCTCTGTCAGTGCCAGCTTCATGTCCTCCTGCACACAGAACACAGCCTGTCACTGCCCTCGCCAGCCCGGATGAGGCACAGGCAGCGAGTGGCTAGACTCTGGAGGACATTCTTCCTGGAGGGGTGAGGACTGAGCGTCGTGGGCATAGAATCAGCGTGGCAATGTCTCCTTGGATGTCTGTGCACCCACATGCTGCACTAAAAACTGGGGGAGTAAGGCAGTGCTGGGGTGACGCTTCCTGATCCCTGCTCACCAGGGGCCGAGCCAGCATGACGGGTCACTCAGGGGCATCGAGAGATGGAAAAAGAGCAACCAGAGACCAGACCCTCTAAAAGCCCCTGCCCCCATGGCCAGTCCTCACAGCGCGGAGCAAAATGCCATGTGCAGGCAATGAGCAGCTCGTCGGCAGAGAGAGGGCATAGTCCTCAGGATGCTCCAGCAGGTGGCAGCCACCAGCCACCAGTGTTTCAAAGTGGCAACATGCAGATCGGCTGGGGCACAGCAGACACAGGGAGCAGGATCTCCGTGGAAGGGATTTATCCCAGAGCGTGATGCAAATATGTGGGTGGGTGAGTGTCTATGCACAGGAATCTCAACCTCATCCCCTGCTGGGTGTGTGAGGCCAGCAGCGGGGAAAGGCTGTCCTCACTGCATACACGAGCAGCCGAGACTCCAGACAAGACCTACGGACAGAAGCCGAGTGCCCCTGGGAGCAGGGTCGCCTGTGGCCCTGTCTCTCTCAGACTCTGTGACGTTGCCAGCCCACGGCCTGCATCTTACAGGATTCGTTCATGCTGCCTTTAAAAAGGAGCATTCGGTTCTCTTTGGAGAAGCTGCCCAGCTAATGAGCCTCGAAAGGCACCTTTGAACCCCGAGTCCATCCTAGCCTTGCCCGGTGCCTACATCGACTCACACAGCACGGGGGACCCCTCCCGACCTCTGCCCCCCCCCACGAGCTGCACGTACCTTCGCCTTGTCCCTCTTCTCCATGTGTGCACAGAGCACTGAGCTTGTCGACTGGACGTCATTGGGCAGTTCCGTTTCGGCCAGCTCTGTCCCGAAGGACTGCAGCATCTGAGCTGTCTGCTTAACCATCAGGGCGAAGCTTTCAATGGCCTTGGGAAGAGGGAAAACACGGTCACAAAGTTTCGCACAGGCCGCACCCAGCTGCTGCTTCGAAAGCAGACTCCACACCGTCACTGCCTGCGGGACCCGCCAGGGCACCTGCAAAGCAGCTCCTCCACCTCGTGGCTCCTTCAGGGACATACCAGGCACACCTTACAGATGCTCCCACCACCCAGTCATTCTGCACTCGAGGGCTCTCTCTTTTTTTGTTGTGTGTGTCGCAAACCACAACATAGGGTTTTGGGTTTTTTTCTTTCTTTTGTCTCCAAGCCCAGAGAGAGCCACTCCCGAACTTATTACTCATGTTATTTCTTTACGATGACTAAGGTCCACTGAGACCATCTCCTCATTCTCGGGTAAGAAAACTTCTGTTCACATGTTTTTGGAAAAGGCAACATCAAAATATAAAAGCAATTCTATTGGATTAACTATGAGTTAGCGAGAACCACAAGCCACTGAGCACTAATCCACTCACCGTGCGGTGGCACAGCCACCTGGTGTGGCAGTAATCCAGGGTCCCACCGAGGTCCTCGGTCAGCTGTGACTTATCGATGTAACCATGCAATTCTGGAACTGAGCTCAGCATTATGACCTGGGGGATATGAAGAGCCACCTGTAAGCAGCGCAACCCAGCGGGTGAGAGAGGCGCTGTCCTCGCCCTCGACGGCGAGGGCTGCCTCGTGGGTACATGTGAGCAGACCCGGGTTTAAATGCTAGCTGGGTGACCTTGGGAAGCCACTGATTCTGTCTGTGCCTCAGCTTCCTCACCCGCAGAATGGGCACAGTACGACTGAGCCCGCCAGGCTTTGGTGAGGAGCCAGTGGGCACTGCTGGGCACAGGTGAAGCCCTCAGCGAGAGCCTGGGGCTGCAGGCGGCCGCATTCCAGAGTGCTCACGTCCCCCTCTGGCAAGGGCAGCTCGCATGCTAGTCGAGCAGAGCTCTGGTGTGAAAGGAGGTAATTTCTGTCCCTGTTCCTGCTGAAAACACCAGGTCTTACAGGTACTAGCAAGAGTCAATACGGCACCACAGAGCCAGGATGGACCGTTCCCGCAAGCTTACACTTTGCACGGGAATCCCGTGGCTGACACGCCCTGCAGACCTTCCATGTGCAACGCGCCTTTAATTCCTGTGCTTCTCTTGCCCTTTTCGAGGTCGTTCCATCCCTGAGTCTTAGGTTAAAATACAGCCTTTGCTTTGTAAGCTGTCAGGCAGATGCTCCAAAATGGGACTCCAGAAGCTTAGCTCAAATGTTATTTGATGAGGCCACTTCGTGTATTATTAAATACTGTATTGGTTTAAACTGGGGCTCCCGGCTGGGGGCAATTTTGCCGCCAGGGGACGTTTGACAGAGACATCTTGGGCTGTTATGGCTGGGGAAGGATGCTCTGGCTCAGGTGGGTGCAGGGCAGGGACACTTCTCAACCCCACGACGTGTAGGGCGCCCATGAAACTGTGAACAGTGCGGAAGGTGAGAACCTCTGAGGAGCATAATTTAAGAAATCTGTTAAATCTTCAGTTTCACCTAGAAAACAGTCGCTAGGAGGGACGACTCCTTCTGTCTCTGCTCTTCTATAACCTGATTGGTGACCAGGATAATCAAAGACTCGCTGACTGGGCAGTCTGAGGATTTAAGTGACCTTCCTCTATGACGTCTGCATCTCAGTTAACAGCCTGTCTGTGCTCCCTGTATATTTAACCTCGACAGCAAAATGCTTTCCTAGCGCACGTTCAGCACACAGCGCCAAAACAGCCACATGCATACATCTTTAACAACCAGACGATCCTTTCTATAATTCAGAAGGATTATCTAAAACAGGCCAGTGAGTTTGAAGACGCCAGCAATGATTTCTGGGGGACCCGTTTCTGACAACTCGCTGACAGGACACAGCAGCAAAGGAGACCACAGCACTGACAACAGATGACCTCAGTCTTACTTCTCGTGACACATCTATGGGAAAGAAATCTGTTATTGATGTGGTTTAGTTGCCAAATATAAGGAAAAGGCTGGATACAGTGATGTCACCTCTACCACAGGGGCCACATGACACACATGCCACTGCCCGAGAGGTCACTGTCCACGGAGAGCTCAGAGCACAGGCCGAGGAGTGCAGGAGCTTACACACAACGTCGAGTTTGCTTAGTGTCGGGACACAGACCCCCGACCGGGCAGGGTTCCTGCTCTCCACGGCTCTATCACTAATCGTCTCTAGGAAGTGGATTGTTTAGAAACTATGGCTTCTTTGATGCTACAAAAACTGGGGGCTGCAAAGAGCTTCCCCAGAGACCTGAAGCCTGTGGTTCTCTGGGTCACCAAGGCAGGACTCACAGAGACCTCACGATGACCTCACACACGCCCCGGGCCATGCAGAGTGTCCTCCCGTTCCCAGTTACTGCTCCGTGCCAGGCATCAGGGGCACAGGGCAACTGTCGTCCAGGTGGGCAGAGTCGATGGGCCTGGCAACCTTATGGGGCCAGTGCTGACAAGGCAGGAGGAAGAGCAGGAAAGGCCCCAGGTACCCCCCTTCTGGTCAGAGGAGGGTCCCTGCTGTCAGGCAGGAGCTGCCTGTGCAGGGCAGGGCAGGCTGCCAGCCGCCTGAGCACCAGGGAGCAGGCAGTAACGTCATGGGCAGCCACCCACTCCGGACTTCTGGATCTCCAGCTGCATCTGGTTAGTGTTGCTGGAGAGCTCGGAGGTGCCTGGCACTGGCCACACGCTCCTGTTCTCTCCGTAACAAAGAAGAAATGAACCCAGGGAGGTCACTTCCCAGCAGCCCTGCCCTGTGCTGTTCACAGGGGCCGGCACCATGGGGCTGGTGAGCAGGCTTCCTGGGAAGCATGGGCTGCTCGAATCGCACAGGTTTCTAGGGTCTTAATGAAGCCTTTGTTTCTTAAAGGATGACAGATCAATGCTAGAAAGTGTCCCTTCTCAGTGGGCAGTGTTAGGAGAGGTGGCCCTGTGCTGGCTGCAGTCATGGAGATGAGGTAGGGATCGCCATGCCAGGCTGTTCTGGGCCCGGGTGCAGCGCATCCCTGCTGGCAGCTCACGGCTCCCCCCATGGGCCTGGTGCTCACACCACATCCCTGGTGCCTCTCTTGTCCCCACCACGCAGGCTGCTGGTGACTCAGCCCTTTAGGGTCCCCGTTCTGCAGCTGGGCCGGGTGTCAGAACATCTGTGCTTAGCACAGTGTGGCCCACCAGCCCTGGGGTGGGGGTGGGGGTGGGGCTGGCAGGAGGGTGGAGGAAGGGACACAGCGCCCTGCACTCCTGACAGCACCAAGAGGAAGCACGACCTCCACCAAGCCATGCAGGGTTTCACGCGTGGCCACAGCGCCGTTAGCTCCTGGCGAATCTCCATTTTCATAGATGGGCCAAGGACGCAATGAAGTGCAGTTCTGCTGACAGAGCGGAAGCGGGTCTACTTACCGGCACCTTCATCTTAAAGTCATCTCTATTGAATCTGAAAGCGATGTCGGAGAGAGTCCTTTGGAAAAATCCCGTTGGGCGGAGGACAAGGACGAGCTGTAGGTTTGCTGGGAACGACGCCTGCAAGAGAGGGGGAAGGGCTGTGGTTTCCTTCAGGACGGCCGCGGCCGCCGAGCTCAGCACCACGCGCCGCAGCAGACTGCTCGGTGCCCGCGGGAGGAGCCCCCACAGGCAGAGGTGCCCCCAGCACCCCGAGTTTACACTCACGGGATCGTGTTATAGACATCAGTCTCTACAGAGGCATCACCATGTTTTAAGAAGAGAAAAGCCACATTCTCTGGTACAACTATGTTATGCTGCTTAAAAGCCAAAAGCTTATTACAGTTGTTATGGGTTGAATTACAGCTCCCAAAATTCATATGTTGAAGTGGTGAGTCCTAGCACCTCAGAATGTGACCTTATTTGGAGAAAGGGTCTTTAGGGAGGTAACTGAGTTAAAACGTAGTCCTTAGGGTGGGCCCTATCCAATGCAACTGGTGTCCTTAGGAAATCTAGACACAGACATGCACACAAGGAGAATGCCACATGGAAACAGAGGCGGTGACCAGAGCGATGCTTCTACCAGCCAGGGAACGCCAAGGACTGTTGGCGAAGCCCTGCAGCCAGGGAGAGGCTGGGACAGACCCTCCCTCCAGCCTCGGATGCAGCCAGCCGTGTCGACACCCCAATCTCAGACTTCCAGCCTCCAGAGCTGTGAGAGAATCAATTTCTGTTGCGTAAGCCGTCCAGTCTGTGTGCTTTGTTACGGCAGCCCCCAAGACTAACACACTTGTCAAACAAACAAAAACCTATAAAGACACATGCATGTATTACCTAAAGCAAAACCAGAAATAAGCCTGTACCCCAGAGTGCACACACAAGCCCTTGCGTACAGTTGTGCGAACGCGTTGGTTCCTGGATCTGCCAGTTACAGAGCTGTGACCTGGGGCAGGCCACTTCTCTTCTCTGTGCTCGGTTTCTCCATCAGCAAGATGGGGGCATCTGTGGTCCCGTCACACTCTCTTGAGGGTGAAACGACCCAAGGCATAGGAGGCGTTTGGCAAAACGTGCTCAAAAACAGTACGGCAGACATACGGTGAAAGGCTGTTCCAGATGCCAAATTATGTCCAGATGCTGAAATCCAGGGAGATCCCATCACTAAAAGAGGACATTCTGAAGCAACTGAGTTTGACCTCCAGATAACTAGGTTAAACGCATCGGAAATATAACGTTCAGAAAAGAATGGCATCGCCTGAAAGCCTGGAATGAATAAAAGGGCAGGCGGCGGGGAAGACCCACTGCGCCACAGCACCTCGGTGAACGGCTGTCTCTGGGTCACCTTCCAGCACCCAGCCTGGTCTAGGAAGGACCACCCGAGACAGCCTGGAGGCTCAAGTCGTGGGATGCACGGGCCGAGGCTGGGCGACTGGCTGCGCTGGACAGGGGGCAGTCTGAGCTCACCCCTGCTGCTGACCACATCACAGCAGGTGCCCTTGAGAATCCTGCATCACACGAGTCCCTAAGTGCTAACACAACCCGAGGATTATAGTGGACTCAGACCTCACTCACGGATATAAAATGCCTTTTCCATAGCCTTTGTGAGAACATTGTAGCAAGATCCTAACAAATCGGTCCTCATTAAAAATCATCGTCAGCCAGGGGCCATGTTTCAGATCACTTGACTTTCTAATAAGATTTAAAACTGAAGATTTGTCCCTTTCCCACTGTGCGCAAACTTAGGACTGAACCATGCTCCGTCCCTTTGCGGGTGACCTCCCCATCTAGGGCGGGAGGACGCAGGCCTCTGTCCCCGTGTGTCGACCTCCCACCCTGAGAGTGCACACTCTTCATTTCTGTGTCCAGCACCTGGCACGCCCTCCCCACAGGGCCCTCGTGGGATGACCCTGACGTCACTGGCTGCGTCGTGCTCTGCGGGAAGGGGACGGACACTTGGCAGAGCTCTGTCCGTGTCTGCTGCTGTGTGGTTGGGGAGGAGGGGACTGACGGCTACCGAGGGGCCCCTTCTGTAGCTTCTGACCTGCACCACTATCCTCTCGACCCACGGCCCTTGGGGAGGTTCTCCTGAGGCCACTGGGTGCCTCTGGCCATGCCCTCCCTCTCTCCCCATCACAGGACACGTGGACTCAAACCCCGGCCTCTCCACATCCTGCAGGTCGCACACATGGAGCCTGGCGAGGCCGTGGCCGTTAAACTAAATGACACATGGGAGTCAGACACAGGAGCTCCCTCCCTCACGCCCGCCCCTGCGGACCCAGGGTGCACGCTCCGGCAGCTCTGCCCATACGGGCAGAAAACGACACTGAAAACCTCCCTGAGGAGCCAGACACTCGAGGAGGAATTCTGGGTCACTGATCACCACTCTGTGAAATTGGCCGCCACTATTTGAGGAAAAGCACCCTCACAGACGTCTTTTCCGGAGGTGACAGTGAGGCCTGCTCTTCTAAATTCAACGCAGTTTTTGTCACCTGGATCCACACCTCATAGGAGACAGGTGCTTTAAGGACAGGCTAAGGGGCCGGTCCCGCCCGGAGATGAGAGGCAGGCAGCCTGCGGGCGGGCCTGTCACCACGAGACACAACCCCATTCTCACCCGTCCTCTGCTTTAGTCTCTCCATTTTTTAAGATATCGAATCTTTACATTAAGTAGAACAATTTTAAGATCCTAGTCAAGTGAGAAGGTTTTAATGAAATGCAAAGGATGTATTTTGAATACAAACAAAAGCAAATTAGATTTTCTCTGGGCAGGAATCAACCATTTATATTAAAAACTAAGAAAAGGTCTAAAAGAAAACTTTTTTCTAAAAAACAGAGGCAAATAGATGGAGGATTTGGAATAAAGCTGTAAAACAATGTCTTTTTGTCACTCTATAATGAAGTAATCATAAAATGGTAATAGGGTTCTATCTGATATGAAAATAGTATTGTTTATTTCCTGGGGCGGGCCCTGATGGACGTAGGACCCGATACGTAATGTGAAGACAGTAAGAACGTGCTGTGAAGATAGAAGGAGGAGTTAACTGGTTTCCAAATTATACTCAGAGACTCACAAATTGAAAAAGCAATACGTGCATTTGCAAATAGCTAAAGCCAATGATGCCTTAGAAACTCTGCAGAGCCCTGAAGCTTTGGGGAGCACTGTTTGAAACCCCCTCCCCAAGAGCAAGTAAGCTTCCTAAGGTCAGCTCAAAGCCACATTATCCAGCCTGACATTATATATTTAACTTCGAACAGAGCAGCTGAGACCTGACCAATTACATTTGTCTGATAGTAGCCAGAAAACAAAAAGTTTATATGAAAACGTACATTTGAAAGTGCATTTATGTCTCCATGCCAACAGATGAACACATCTCAAAGTCTGAACCTGAGAAGCTCTCCTGGGGGGAGGTGAGCTGGGGCCTCTCATCCCGGAGCCCGGGTGCTGCCCCGTGGAGGTCTGGATGCACCTGCTAAGTACAGCCATCTGCAGCGTGCACGCCCAATGCTAATAAATCAACCCTGGACCACAGTGAGGCCATCGGGACTAGTCCACACCCATCCAGCAGCACTTCCACTAGATGGTGTAAATCCATCCTCAGGAATTTTACATTAACTGGACTTGGAAAAACAGAAAAAGCACACGGGATCCTGATTATTTAAACTTGGATGACATTTTGGCTGGGATAACTACGAAAATGGGTAAGTCAGTGGATTAAATAATGTTGGAAACTAGTTATCTCTCCTGCACTCTCCCCACAACTCAAAGCCAACCCCCAGAGCCGCCGCCTCCTTTCCCCAGCAGGCCCTGGCGAGCTTCCGCGTGAGCCCGGAGCTCCGGCGAGGGCTGGGAAGCACTCGGCCCGCTCTTCTGCTCCACCTGCAAACGATGTCACTTAGGGTCAAAGCAGCACCCGGCCCTGCAGAGGTGGAAGCAGAGTGAAGAGCGGTCGGGAGATGGGAGACAGGATGCAAGGACGTGCAATGAGGGACAGCAAGGGACGAAAGGAACGTTCACAGGCGGCTGCAGGTGTGAGCCCCTGATGCCACCACACCGCCAGCTCACCGCGAGAACACAGCCACACGACGACCACCCCAAACCACAATGCAGCAAAAAGGATCAGTGGACACTGAAAGCATGGGGTTGGGGGGGACACTGCTGGGGAACAGGACTGCCACCCATGCCAAGGCATTGCCACAGATGCCTCGCTGGTTACAAACGGGAAAGGCTGCCTTGGCCACATGAGCAGATGTGACCACACCAACACAGGATCCTGCCCATCTGTGTCTGTGTATCTGAGTGTGCATGTGTCTGTGTATGTCTGTGTGTATCTCTGTGTGTGTGTTTGGTGGGTGCATGCACATGTATCTATGTGTTTGTGTCTCTGTGTGTTTGCGTGTGCACGCCTGTGTGTCTCTCTGTGTGTGTATGTGTGAGTTTGGTGAGTGCATGAGCATGTGTCTGTGTCTCTGTGTGTGTATGTGTGTGCACACCCGTGTGTCTGTGTGTGTGTATGTGTGAGTTTGGCAGGTGCATGTGCATGTGTCTATGTGTCTGTGTCTCTGTGTGTTTGGTGGGTGCATGCCTGTGTGTCTCTGTGTGTGTATGTGTGAGTTTGGCAGGTGCATGTGCATGTGTCTACGTGTCTGTGTCTCTGTGTGTTTGGTGGGTGCACGCCTGTGTGTCTCTGTGTGTTTGGTGGGTGCACGCCTGTGTGTCTCTGTGTGTTTGGTGGGTGCACGCCTGTGTGTCTCTGTGTGTGTATGTGTGAGTTTGGCAGGTGCATGTGCATGTGTCTATGTGTCTGTGTGTGTGTTTGCAGTGCATGGCGGCGAGCCTGAAGCAGAGAATATGCAGGTGTTTGCTGTAGGTTTGGAATTTTTCAAAGTGAAGCGTTGGCAGGAGAGAGGCACTGGGCTTCTCTGCTTCCCTGTACTGAGTGGCTCCGGTGTCCTCCCTCCCAGACCCGACTGTAGGTCAGGCGCCTCCGAGTCAGCACAGTGCAAGGTGTCTCACCACATGTGTAATGAGCTCTAAGTTGCAAAAAATAAATCAAGCAAACCATCTCCATGCATAACTTAAATAC